TTTGCTGTAACAAAGACGCTCTAGCTACGTTTGACTGGTGTAAGACTTCGATTTCTCACCACAACTCTTTAGCATTTATTCTCGTGACTTCGTTGTTATGCTATGCAAAAATATATAGACGTTGCGCAGACAGTATATCTGAGTTGTATGAAGTCGCTTGAGGACTGTGATACATTTTAGAAAGACGTATTTTCTGTGTGCAGAAAACAGACCTTACCTTTCTTCGGGTGCTAATCAGTGTGACTGGGCATGTACACGTGAAAGTTGGTTTTGTACAACACTTTGTGAACTGCTAGCACGCATTGTCAGCAGATACCAGCAAACGTGTAAACGACAATAGTAGGAGGTAGGTTCTTATGAAATTATTGATGACTGAAGCGCGTGACCTGAGTATTTTAGCCTATAGCTGACAGTCATACATATCTGTTTCATATCATTCACTCTTGCGATCAGCTTCTTGAAGGAGTGGGACGTTTCGGTTTCATGGCGTTTGGGCGCACCGGCGGTTACTGTCATCGCTCAGCGCTGCAGTCGCCTCATTGAGTTTGCGTAACTGGACGGTGGTCTTCTGCATCAACTATTTGATTTATCCTATCATGTTATGTATCAGTGGAAGCTCTCTGTGAGCGATTCCATTGTGACACTTATCACACACTGATTACAATTCCATTGTTGCGACCGATGGAGGTCGTTAAGTCAGCGCGCAGCCCTGCAGTGGCGAGTTTGAATCTATATCTTCGGCTGTTGCGTATCTATATCACTTTATTGACTTCGCCTTCATGCTATATATCAATGTACATCTCTTTTCGAGTACATTACTATTGTCAAACTTGTTAATTTCGACGATTCCATTTTATGAGTTTGTAGTGGTAGCTGCGTCAGGTTAGTAAGTAGGATAGTAGTCATTTAGCCTAAAGTTGAAATCTCTGCAAGCTATTGGCAGAGATGCATCTATCACAATCCTTTTTTTTGCTTTCTTTAATCACGTTGCATGTCGATGGATAGTTCTTTATCAGCTTGCGCAATTGTCACTTGAAATCTTCAAACAAAAATGCGAAATTGATACTTGAGAGGCTTTTTCCTGCTCACGTAAAACCTTCGATTGATGTGTAACGTGATGCATCAAATCAAGTACTTAATGCGAATGATTACCAGACAATCATATAAACTTGATGACTGAACTCTGACTTATTGACCTCGCGCAGCCGGCACGATGGCATCGTAAAATAAAATGAAAATCTTTGAAATTCAAGTTTGTTCTCGCAGAGAATTTTCCATAGGTAACATGGCACATGGCAAGTGGAGTCAAAGAATTGTTAGAGACGGTCATTTGCCAGCGATATGGGTTCAGACTCAACCGCAGTACTCTTCGATAACTAAACGACTTCGAACAATAATCGCAGTGGAATTGTGATCAGAAATTCGCATGTATGTCAACAGTATCGTATTTCATTGACGGAGAGATCCTCATTGATGTATGACTTGATGGGCTAAAACAAATATCGACGCAGATGACCACCATCGAAGGATGCAGATTCAAAGCGGTGATGACCGCAACCGCCAGTCTGTGCCCAAAACAGCAAACGCCATAAGGTCTCGAACCGGCCTCGGGATTGGATGAGTTTCTTAATTGGCGAGATTTGGGATGTTGTTGTTCCTCATGTTTCAGGGCGCTTTACTCGGATGCGGATGTTTTTCTGCTAGACGATCCTCTAAGCGCTGTCGATCCTGCTGTTGGAAACTTTCTGTTCGAGAGGTGAGTACGTAAATCCTTCGCTATGATTTTGGCAACTGTTGTCAAATATAGGTGCATCGTTCGCGCAATGGCAGGACAAACTAGAATATTAGTCACTCACCAGTTGCAGTACTTGAGCGGTGCAGATAAAATACTCTTAATGAAATCGGTAGGTGGTTTTTTTTTGTTTCAAAATGTAATTAAAGTTATTTTCAACATTTGTACAACACTCCGATTTTTCTGCTCACACACGCTGCTGGTCATCCATAATTTTAAAATGTTGGACCTTACAAGCTGATGGAACAGAGTCGACAGCCGTACTACCTATTAATGAGGTTTTCTTTGAAAAATTTGTCCGGTTGTTATCGTTTATAAGTTGGTGAAGTCGGTGAAAGATCATTTTGAGCAGAAAAATGACTTTCGTGTGAAACATACGAGACAGTTATACTGTCTTTATAAAGCAGCTCCGATGTTTCACACATCATGGCATTTCAGTTCAAAAATGTATTGATAAGTTAACCATTCTAGATGTTTAGAGTTATCGTTTTAGATGTTTAGAGTTTTAGATGCTAAATTCACGCGTCAGTTGTCATGGATATCTATCATAATGGATATTGAATTGATTTGGAATGGTTATTGAATTTTATGAAAGAAGAAATTGTCCCTAAAAATCTTTCGTTTTCATGCAATTTCTGCATGAAGAAGAGAGGGAAGAAGAGTAAGAGAAGAAGAGGAGTGTTGTATTCGCTTGTGCTATATCTATGTAGGGGAATGCAGTAGCGCATGAGATATTAGTTTGCTGTGCACTATAGAGCTGCCTTGTTTAAATTGAATGCATCGTATGTTGTTTTCTGTTAACTGCTAATTATCTTGAGCAAGGGTTTTTCCTGCTGTGCTTCAGTGCAGCCAGCCGAGAAACGGGTAGCAAATGGGTCACTTGTGAAAACTAGGGCAATGTAATGTTTTGATGTGATCCTGTCATGCTAGACTTACGGCCATGTTCTCTTATGCATGCCTTCCGGCTGCACTTCGCCCTTACCCACTTGACAATTGACTAAAAATTAGCACAAGGTATTAACGCGAATTAAAAATATCACTTGCGATTAGCGCAAATGATAATCACACGGTACAAGCAACACGCAGTGCGATCTCAGTACCTTTGGTGAAGGCCCATAAACAAAATAATTTGAATCTACTGCTTTTGTTTTTCGGGTTTTTGATAGTCATAGATAGGTTCATGATGGAGTGATGCAGACCTGCACTGAAACTCGGTACCGTCTGCTCTCGCGTTGAGGGTTTTTGGATTTCTTGATGCCAGGATATGCATTTCTCGAACTTCGATTGTAATGAGTAACTATCGTCGGACAGCAATACCAGCCCCTTCTGCCGGGTTTCTTTAGTAACCTTCTCCGCAGTTCGTTCGGTAAGGTCATCTGCACTAATATTACTGATTCTGAAATCCAGAAATTCTACTCTGGGTACGATATAAAGTTTCTTATGCAACTCAGCGAAAAAAACGTACTCTGCATGTTAGAGTCGGTATGTGTTAGCCATGCACAAAGAGCGATACCGGGTTAGTCGAATAATAGATTTTTAGCCTTATTAAGTCACAAAAATGGAAATCCCTTGCATCCCTTTAAGAACATTGGTGATATGATTGTTTCGATCTCAGTTCTTGTTGAAGAATGTTCCAAAATACAGGATGGTGTTTCTGACGGTAATGGCTCGTTTTCCATGTCAGTAGTCCGTTTGGCTGCAGAGAGCTGTGCAGTTGATTTAATACTCTTCATTATAATCATTTGCTGGTCGTTCTTCGGCGACTGGTGAAAGGTCTGCTATTCGCAAACCATTCCTTAATTCCATCTACAGCACCCTGTAATCTGTCTGAGTCGAATTCACCACGGGTTTGAAAACATGATATCAGTATTCCTCATCTTTTTACGTAGCTGACGTTTTCAGCCGTTCTGAGGCTGTTAGTGTAAAGTTTGAATAGTGAAGGGGCATTACGAAACCTGTGAGAACTGCAGAATAGTCTGCGCCAGATACATCTGGTGTAGACCATCCCCAGGATCGGTTGGCTTTTTAATGGTTACCTGCGCGTTGGAGAGGATCTAAGGTTGAAGAAAGGACAGCTAGGCACACCCTCTCCTCTTATACACTCAGGCTGTATTTCAAACCTTGTTACCCAGTATCTAGGCGAACCCTAAACTATAACTTCACCTCTCCACATCGGTGGTCTTGAAGTTCTATCTGTCGTTATTGCTGCCAATTCACATGGCCATCCCATATTGAGATATGAAGTGTTAAGGAGCGTTCGCCTAAAATTCTGTAGACTAAGACATTCGAACATTCTAAGTCGTGCGTTTCGCTTAATGTTCTTTCCATATATCGCGAATATATCCAGATTTTCGGTTATGCAGTGGCTTTTACTGTGCTCGTTTACGACAGTGACCTTACTGATATGCAATTTCAGGGCAAGATCGTCGGCATGGGTACTTACGCAGAACTTCATGAAAATCAACAAGAATTTGCAAACCTCATGCAAGAAACAGAAATTTCTTACCGGCGACAGACGTTGTCCGACTCTGTGGAAGAAAGCCGTTCCTTATCTTCCATCATTAGCAGTTTGGAATCATTAAAGCCACTCAGTATCGTCGACGAAGAAATTATTCCAAATGAACAAAGGAAATCAGAAGTCGTTGTTCTGTTTATTTTCATGCTTCGTACGGCATACTGTTTTTAGGATAAACGAGTCTCTGAAACCAAATATGATAAGTTCATTCCTGAAGAAGAGCTTCTGTTGAACGAAACATTTACCCGTCAGAACAAAAGTATAACCATCAGCCCCGATCACTGCTTTAAGTCAGGGGAAATGGCCAACGTAAATGCTTTTTTCTACTTCCTTGTGTGCAGACCTTGCATACATATTTTTGATCACCCCTTATGATTTTCAGAAAGTTGCTGTTCAGCTTCTCAGCGAAGAGAAAGACACTGGCTCCGTCGACGCGCGTGTTTATTTTTCGTATTTTCGTGCGATGGCGTCTCCGTTTTGGTTAATACTACTGTTCGTCTTCATGATTCTAGTGCAGGCCTTGTTCAACTTTACTGATTTCTGGATGAAGCAGTGGTAGTTACTGATTTATAGGCAGTGGCTTATTGATTTCAGTTTCTGTTTTTCTGTCGTAAACTCAGCCTTCTCATTCTTAATTCATACCTTCTAATTGTACTGTTCTACACGTAAATGTTTCATTTGTCATCATCGTCAGCCTTTTTCGATTTGCTGCCGC